TTCTTCCCTTTCTTCTTTTCTTGCTGTTTTTGGATGAAAAGTTAAAATATTAACTTTATAAATTCATATATTATAAAATGAAAGGAGTTACATCTGAACCTTGTGAGGAAGACTTACTCTTTTGAATTTGAGATTGTTGTGATGACAAATGAAGTTTTATGATTTGTTTTTGGGAAATGAGAGAGGAGAGGAGAGAAAGAAACTGAGGTTGAGATTTTGAACAAGAAGGACGAGGAGGAGGAAGATGATGTCAAGGACAAGTAGGGTAAAATCACTCAGTTGACTCATGTAGAAGAAAGTATAATAATGTTGAGTATGGGTAAAATTATGAGATTAAATACTAAAAATAAAAATATTGTATTGCTAGACCTATACTCTGCTTTCTTCAAATCTGTTTAATATAATGGAGGTAGGGTTTGGAAACTACTGAGTATTTTATTTTCCAGACTTCTGTATTAACTGCATTCTTAATAGAAGAAACCAGCAAGACATTGGGAGCCAAACACAGCCCCTTTGCTTTTGACAGGAGCTAATGTTTCTGAAGTCATTGTGTTGTTTTGCCCCTACAGGGTCAACTCCCATGCTCACTAGCTGATGAAGCTCCTGGGGTTCTTTTTACTCTCAGTTAACACAAGACAATTACTTCTGTTTGCATCTCAAAAGAAGCAAAATTTGTAGTGCCTTGCTGGTTTATTTTAACTCTTGATTTTTTCATCAGTTCCTGTGTATTTCCCAGTTTACCTACCATCTACTTAGGGCAGGAGTTTCCTGTGTCAAATGTTTCATGGTTTCTGTTTTCATGGGTAGATAGTGTTTGATACAAACCCCAAGGTAACTGCATTCCTCTGCAAATCATTGCCTTTCAGTGAGATCAATAGGTTTGAGACAGGAATGGTTAACCTACATGGTTAATCTATGAGTGCCATTCGGTTGAAAGGCAGGCTTGTGAAAATATTCTGATATGTCATCATTTAACTTTTTTTAGCAGATCTGGCCCTCTGAAATTTCCTGCTCTTCTTCAGTCAAATTATTATGAAAGGTATTTTTTTTTTTATGATTCACAAAAAAGGACTTCCAGAACTGTTTCAGAAAGTGCTAAGAGTGATGTTATGTGTATTTTAAATAATATGGATTAATGGCATTGTGATTTTTTAATGTAATGAATTTTTAACATCATCATATTTTTCAATCACAGCTGGTGTATTTTTAGTACTTAATATTTAGAAAGTTTGTTTTGACCTATTGTTATACTTGAATAAGATATTTATCTCAAAATGTGTCTAATTGTAATAATTTTTTTTAGAGTCCACTTTCATTATGATTGACACACATATTTTGGTTGTTTTTCCTTGTCTGCTGTATTTAGTGGTGTATTTGTTTTCTAGAGATGATATAAAGAAGTACCAGAAACTGTCTTACCCAGCAAAGATTTGTTTTCTCATAGTTCTGGAGGTCACATATCCAAGACCAAGATCTCAGTAAGATTTGGTTCTTGGGGGAGGGTATGAGAGAAAAATCTCTTCTAGGCCTCTCTCCTTGTCTCATTTTACATAGAAATTTTCTCTCTATGCCTTCACATATGCTGACGTGTGTGTGTGTGTGTGTGTGTGTGTGTGTGTGTGATGTCCAAAATAGCCTTCTTACAAGAACATCAGTCACATTTGAATATACCCTTCTCTAATAATCTCATCTTATCTCACTACCACTTTAGGGCTCCTCCTTTCAAAGGCAGTCATATTCTGAGATACTCAAAATAGACTTCAATATGTGAATTTTGAGGAACATAATTCAGCCCATAACACAGAAGATAATAATAATTATATTCCAGAATCATAATCTTTTCCCATACATAGTAGTCAGGAATTATGTTATTTAGCCTATTTTTGTCCTTCCCCTTTTTGCACTATTATTACTAGTCTTTAGCAAAGAAAGCTACTAAAAGTAATGAGTGTTATTCCTGTTCAAAGTTTTAAAGAATGACTTACACATTTTTGTCCTTTTCTCTTTCTGCTATCCAGGTGTATGCAAAAGCCCTAATCAACTGAGATTGAAAACCTGGAGGAAATTACTCACTGTATTGAGGAAAATCAATGGATTTACAGCTTGGTGAATGGCATTGAAATATTACATGGCTTCAAATGAACTTATAGTCTATTATGTCTCTAAAATGTGGGCAATAAAATTGATGTAGTTTTAACCTAGTTAATTCATACATAGGTAGTAGAAATGGGATACTATAATTAGATTAGCAATCAAATTACAGATGAGTAGATAATAAAAAATTCAGTATGAAAAGTTGGGAACTTATATAATGGAACAGAAAAATGTCTGAGCAAACTATTGCTAATGTAAATATTTCTGAAGATAAAGCACCGTGCCATAATTAAGTAAGTAGCTATAGAAAAGTGATAGGAAAAGGTAAGAAGGTGCATGTTTGTTCATTTTATTTGATATTTCAGCAAAGTGCTATAAAAAAAGAGACAATAAGAATTAACTAATTCAAACAAGAGAAGGGAAGAATATGTGAGAAATTTGGGGCCGCAAAAGCTTCTAGATTCTAAATAGTAAAATATATTAAGAGAGAAGACATTTTTATAACAAAGATTTATTAACATTTCATTGAACAAAGGATTTCAGTCTTTGCATGAAAATTAGATTAAGAAAGTTTCCTTCCCAGCCAAGTAAATCATTTCAGAGTGCATGATGATAATAGGAAATGAAACACTTAAAAATTATAACTAGAAAAGAACTTTGACGTGTTTATTTCCATATAACTGGCCAGTAGCAACTGAACCAAGTCTCCTAAGCTCTTCAGGAAAATAATAAAATAAAGGAAAATAATTCCTATTAGTATCTTGTTGGACTAAAATTGACAAAAGACCCCAATTCCTTGCCACAGAAAGTACCCAACTCCCAAAAACGTCATACTCTACTGCCCATTTTAGATATAATAACTGAAGACACTAACATGCAGTTTTCAGAAATTAAAATTAAATGTCAATAGAGAATGACAGAGATCCTAAACCTAACCAAGGAAATTCTTCCTTTTTTAAGCAGAAATTTACCTTTGCCAGGAACCATTGTCTATCTGTATGTTTTTCATTCTTCTGTTTTAATTTTTAATTGATACTTAAACATTGTATATCCTTGTGGGTCACAATGTAATGTTTTCATTCAGGGAGGGCCAGTGTATGATGTTCCTATCAGGGTAAGGGTATCTGTCTCCTCAAACATCATTTCTGTGTGGCAGAAATATTCAAAGTCCTTTTCTATAGCTTTTTGGGGATATGTAGTACTTTATAGTTATCTGTGGTCGGTCACTATCAATCATCTGTGAAATAGAACAGCAGATTTTACAACAAAGTACCAATTGATCAGTCTTTCCCCATCTCTCCCTGCCTACCACTTTTCCAAGGATCTAGTAGCCAATATTTTACTCGAAAATTTCATGAGATCTGCTTTTGTAGTTTCCCTAAAGTAGCAACACAGTATATATATATATATACTTCCCCCTCCTCTGGTTCACCACTGCCCTGTGAGAGTTGGGCCAGGGGTGGATGTTTATGGAGAATTCCTAAGATTCTAGATGATGAAGTACCAAATCTGGATCTGTTCACATACTCCAGCTGAGGTGGTGAACTTTGAGACGCAAACAGTGCTTAGATTAGGTATTGTGTTTTTTCCTTCAGGGAGGGAAACAGTACAGTGTGTGGGTTTGAGGAAGATGGCAAATGAAATCTTCTGGACCTGGAAGGATGAACTGTGAAGAAATGGCTAGTTGTTCTTCAAATCCATCCTATCGCCTTCCTAAACAGAGGGCTAGACTTCATCTCCCATAATCCCTTGCAGTTAGGGAAGAGAGGAGACCATGTTGAGGAGTTTCTGTCAGTAGAAGTTCAGTAGAAGTAATGTGTGCAACTTCCAAATGTTAAACCAAATCTTCTTGCGCATGAGTATTCAATCTCTTTCCACTAGTTGAATGATGATTTCTAGGTGTTTCTGTCAGCTGTCCTTTGGTATTTTAGAAATGTTGTCACACCACCCTCTGCTTCTTTCCAAAAATAGCCAGGTGGAATTTTGTTGAGTAAGGAGTGACATTCATTTTGTTGCTCCTTTGAAATGTAGATTCACTGACTAGAGTAGCTGTTATGGCTGTTTCATTTTACTTCTTTACCAGTTGCATAGCACCTTGTTTACCAGTATAAAAGTGTATCCTGGAGACAAATTTATAGATTTACTAAATATTGGTTATTTTTACAATGTTCATTTAAAAATTTCCATTTCATTGACCAAAAAGTACAGACACCAGTGTAGTAGTGGTGAATGTGAGAATAAATATAAAGAGAGCAGAAAACAGGTAAAAAAGAAAGAAGTAAAGGAGATAAATGTATGTAATAAGTCCTTTTTTGTTTAGGATTTATACAGTAAGACATCTTCACAGCAACAGAGAAAATCCAGTCTTGTCACCTCAAAGAAATTTTCTTTCCACTGACCACGTCTGCTTGATGCAATGGCAAGGTCCGGCAGACATGGCAGCACAAGCTTGTAACCCAGAACTCCAGAGGCTGAGACAGGAGGTTTTCTGAGCATTCAAGAACAGCCTGGGATACAGCCTGGGCTATATATTGAGTTCAAGGCCTGCCTGGATTATATAATGAGATTCTGTCTTTAAAAAAAAAATACATAAATAAAAAGGAAGGAAGGAAGGAAGGGAGGAAGGAAGAGAAAGAAAGAAATAAAGAGAAAGAAGGAAGAAAAAAGAAAGAAAAAGAGGAAAGAAAAAGAAGAGGAAGAAAAGAAAAAAAAAAGACAAGGTCTCAAGTAATTACCTTCTAGCATATCTGTGTAGTAACCACAGGCAAAGTGGAACACATGTGCCTTATGTAAACAGATTTTTAAAATGAGGATTAGGAGTAGGGTTATTTCTCTAATTATCTGACTTTATGTATTTCTGGTAAGTGCATGATCTTAGTAATAAGTAGTAAATAAAAAGTTCATTAGCAGCAGCATATTAGAAAAGCAGTCTTTTTTATTCTGGGCTAGCTTTATCCTTTAATTATTACATGTTAGAGAATCTTCAACATTTTCTTCACCAATATTTTTTGTTTCCTGGATTGCTTTTGAAATGGAAATCTTTGGTGTTATAAAACTATTTAAGAGCTAGAGAGTTGGAGCACAATTGTTGTCTGAAATACTTGCTTTTAAATACTTGCTAGATTCCACTTTTATTGAATCTCTGTAATTATTTGTGGTATGTTACTTTATTTCTCACCTGCAAGAAAAAAATGTCTCCTTATTTTCAAAGACATGGCTTTTTTTTGTCCAATTTTCTCCATTTCCATTTTCACAGTGACACAACCGCTCTCTGGGTCTAGACAGATGCAACATGAAGAAATGTGTTGGAATTCACAGGAGAGGAAAGGGAGTGTCACATTAACCGATGCAAATATTATGATTTCCAGTGTACAACCGAAAATATATCTGGGCACACGCTTTAAAAGAGAGATTTCGGGGGAAGAATTTCCTTAAAATATATATATACATATATATATATATATATGTATATATATATATATTTGATTCTTATTTATACTTTTATTTTCTCACACCAGGGAAACTATTTGGTATTTACATATGTGTGTCCTATTTTTTTCACTTAAGAAGTATGGCCTCAGTGTGCATCCACTTACCTATAAATGCCTCTAGTTTCTCATTCTTTATAGCTGAGTACTAGTTTATTTAAAAATTATTAAAAAATCATTTGCTTTATCCAGTCTCCAGTTGATGGGCAATTGTATAATAGATAATGTGAAATGGCAAGAAAAGGTCCAAAGGAGAAGGGAAGAGAGTGGTAGGGGAAAGGAGAGAAAGAAAAGGAATAAATATGAGAAAAGGAAAAAATGAAAGCAAAGTCTTTCACACCAGAGAAACTATTCAGTATTTACACATATGTGATTTATTTATTTCACTTGTGTATGGCCTCAATATGCATCCATTTTCCTATGAATGACTCTAATTTCTCATTCTTTATGGCTGTGTAGTAGTCCATTTTATAGAAAAACTATAATATAATGGTACATAAAATCCTAATGGTATAATTGACAATGTGAAATAGGAAGAAAGGGGCTAAAAGTGTAGGGGAAGTGGGAAAGGTAGGGGAAAGGAAATAAGGGAAAAGAAAAAAAATATGAGAAAATGGAAATAAAGTTTTTGTAAATAGGGAAAGGAGGAGGAGGTGAAGGGAGGGCAGGGACAAGGGGAGAAAATGAGAACCGAGACCTGTCACGTAAAGGTACAACATCCCAATGATTAATGCAGTTGTACAGTATACCTAAAAAGTACCAATAAACTCAATGAGAGAGAAAAAAGAAAGCAAAGTCTTTGTAAATAGAGAGGGGCAGGGGCATGGAGAAAAACATAAGAACTAATATATATCATGTAAAGGTACAAATTCCCAATGATGTATGTCATCATATTATATACCTTAAATGTACCAATAAATTTAATGAATAAAGAGATGTATATTTATGTATATGTTACCTCCCCTACCTTATGCACTAATCCATAGTTCTAGAAGAACTACTTACTTTTAATCTTGGTAGTATATTAGAGTATTTGACCATTCGTGTTTTATTTCAAGTTTTTTCATATCTCTTATGTATCACTCTTTTGTCATAAATCCATTGGTAGCACATTTGATTTTGGTTTGAAGAACTAGTAGTAAAACTAGGGAAATTTTTGACTCACTCAACGTAGCTTCCTAGCTTAGTGGTAGAGATAGAAAAAAATCCAAGCCATCTTAACTGTGTTTATTAGTCTTTGTCTCATAAAGCCCATTAAAAAGCTATTTAGGCAACGGCTATAAAAAGTATATTGTAAAGGTGACTTCTTCAAGTGACCCTTTTCTTCTCCCCACTATTAATATAAATGTAGTATACCAATGCTTGGCTTTTTTGTGTAAGTAAGAGGATGTTAGGATGAATAGAGCATACATCTCTATTCAAACAGCAAGAGGCAACATGAAGCCATTCAAATAAGGGAGAAAGTCTTGGTAGCTCAGGTTAACACATCAAAGAATAAGAAGCAGAAATTGCCTAAATGAAACATCTTTAGCTTTTTATAATTGAAATGTATTACTGTTTTACATTTTGTTTGTGTATGTCTAGTATAATATTTTCAATAATTCTATTGAGTATTAGTAAATGTGCTTCAATTACAATAAGGGTTTTGAAGTTCATCAACATAATTTGTTTAAAGGTTTGAATATATATTGTTGTTTAGGCTAGGAAATTTCACAATCTATTATTTAGCTTTGAACAAACAAAACAGTTCTGAATTGAAAAAATGAAGACAGTGCTAATATTCTGTCTTCTCACATATTAACACATCCTCAATGAAGACACTTATTTAAATTTAGAGAATCTTGTATCAACAGCAATAAAGTCTTATCTTCTTGGAGGCACTATCAGTTCATCTTGTTAACTTTTCCTGAGACCAATGGTAAAATGTAGTAAGGTTCTATTTTATTTCCTATAAACTAAAGGAGAAGGGGTCTTTAAATTTTATTCAGAAATGTTAAGAGAATACCAGCAAAATTGTAAATTACATGTAAGATGCACAAAGCTTTTAAACAATAATTTGACACAAATGAGCTCTCAGGGCATTCCAACTTTGTATTTTCATAGTTTCATTGGAGAGAATAGTGAAAACAGGAAGTTACTATGAAAATCCAATGTCTGTGTGGTGTGTATTGGTGTTTGTATGTGACAGAGATCAACATTTGCTATTCCAAAGCTCCCAGAAAATTTTTGGACATATTTAAATAATGACTTCCACTTTCAATTTGGAAATCCAAAAAATTCATGAAAATTCATACTGTGAAGTATGATTTTTGAACTTCCAATGAAAGAATGTACAGTAAGCAGGGGCATTTCATTTGTTTATCATATCATTGAGCTTTAAATGTTACCATCTACAAAGGTACAGAGTAATTATCAATATTCATTTTACATGCAGTACAGAGAGTAATTATCAATATTCATTTTCCATGCAGTACAGCCAGTTATATTTGTTGAGCTGGCTATTCAGCAATTTAAAAGCTGTTTAAGGCTCTCCTTCATAGTGTGTACTTTTAAGCCTTGCTTCATGTAAACGTTTAATATGTACCGAAGGAATTCAGGAATTACTACCCCTAAGCAAGTCTCCTTTTTATGTAGTAAAATGATTACAGAAGTCGACAGGAAATTCAACTAGGGAAATTAATTTGAAAATTATGAAATCAGTTTCAGAAGAGTGCAGGAATGCTGTTTGCCACAATGATACTGCCATTTTCTTCATCACAAAATGTGTCTATTTGCATTCAAAATCCTCCACTGTTCTGTTGGGAATATTTTTTTCAAATTTTTATAAGTATATATTTGCAATACATCTTGATATTTCTTGTGAGGTTTAGTTAAGTTTATATAACACATCTTAATTGTCTTGCACCTTCTATTCTTCTCCCCCAACCTCGTGTCCCATTCCCTTTGGCAAATAATCTGTTTTCTATTATATAATTTTTATTTTGTTTTTGATTTTTATTTTGGGTTTTTTATATGACAGAAACCATGTGATATTAAGCTTGTGTGTCTGATTGATTCCACTTAAAATTATGGTATCAAGGTGCATCCATTTTCCTACAAATGACTCAAAGTAATTCTTTATGAAGCATTTTTTATTTATCCCAATAAGAATAAAACATACTAAAATACTAAGCAATGCAGCCTAGATGTGGAATAAGTACACAGACTTTGAATCCAACACTCTTAGGTATGAATCTTTTTTTTCCCCCTCTGATAATGGGATAATTTGCAGAATTTCTTTTACCTATCTAATGTAGAAACAGAATATGGGAAATCAAAATCACTATTTATGTAGAAGCTGTAAGTCTTGAAAAATAATTTTCTATACACCGATTTAAGTGTAAATTACACAAAATACTAAACTGTACCTATGTGTTAAACTGAAAACACATTTTAGTTAGTCATAATTAAATCTTGAGTCCATGTAGTATAATATTATACTGCACATTCTAGAACACATTGGGAGGAAAATTATGAAATGTTTTCTACTGTTAAAAACTGTAAAATTATGTACTGTAAATTATATAAGAACATTATCTTAACTATTCCCAACTTAGATGAATATTTTCATAATTCAGGAGTAATTTGAGCTTTTAGTTCAGACATTCAGAGGAGACTTCTTTTCTCTTTTTTTGGAATATGACGTTACATTTCTTACATTTGACAGATCTTATTAGTATATTTTAGGAATGCATAATGATACCATTCATAGCAGGGGATTACACCTGCACATGACATATCTCGCTTCTTTCCTCGACCATTCATCTCCCCTCCTTTCAATCCCTCTTCCCTTTCTTCTTTACAAAAGCATTGTTTCCATTTTTTCCTTCTATTCTC